ATTGAAGAAAAAAGGGAAAAGGGAGCATCACGTTGTAAGGTTGACAGTTTTCTCCTCTGTACTGACTAAAGGGGAGCTGTATGTAGAACAGATGGATGTAAGAAATGCCCTCCAAAACCCAGATATCTCAAGACCTGAAGAAGCCTTTGCCACTTTATAATATTGAAGGCCTTTCCCAGATCAATGGACCCTGACCAGAGAGAGGACCCCGACAATTTGTACTGTTCCAAGAACCGTAAGGAATCATATATTGGTTACCAGAGACCTTACAACAAAACCTGTCTAGTTTTAGGTAAAATAGTAGATGGTCCATCTGCTATGGTCTTCAACAGATATGTTGAAAGGTTGTCCCACCTCTGCTATTAGGCATTAACCCTTTCGCTGCCAAGCCCTCCGGAACATTTTTCAAATCAGCTGGCCAAGCCATTTTTGAATTTTCTGCAATTTTTTCCTATTGGTTTGATTTTCAACTGCTGCGTTGCTAGCGTTTGTAAAAGACCCCCCAAACCATATATTTTCTGAAAGCGCAGGCCCGGTAGAATAATATATTAGACATACCGTCAGGTCCTGGAGATTTGAGTTTGGGGGATATAGAGATCATTTTCTTAATTTCCGCTAAGGAAATAATGTTATATTGAAAATCTAGGTCCTGTTGTGAGAGATTAGGAAGGTTTAGGTTGTTGCAGAATTTCTGACTGTTCAACGGACAAGGTCGACCGTCCAAGTAGAATTTAGTATATTATTAAGCACAGAGACAATTTCTTAAGGTGTGTGTTTAATTGATCCCTGGGCATCTGTTTTACGAGTGATATGATGCATGGGACATTGTTCTAGAACAATAAGTCCCAGATATCTCAAGACCTGAAGAAGCCTTTGCCACTTTACACAATCAAAGGCCTTTTTTTAGATCAATGCCCCATGCATCATGTCACTCGTATTACACAGGGATCAATTAAAAACATACACCATCAGAAATTGTTTCTGTACTCAATAATATACAAAATTTTACTTGAACAGCCGACCTTATCTGTTGAACAGTGAGAAGTTCTAAAATAAGATATGCCAGCAGCCACCCGATCTTATTACCAACTTTATGAATATTAAACGTTTCAAGTATCTTCTATAATTTTGTCATGTTTGTCCAACCATGCATCAATCTTGACCTTGGCTTTCAGCCAATTGGAACCATTAGGGCCCCCCATTCGCTGCTTATTTTGTTAATAGGTCTCTCTGCTCTATTGCTAGTTTCTAAATAATTGTGCAAGGCGATTTGGCGTTTTTCCAATATAACACCAGATCAGTTATAAAAATCTTAATCAAAACACCACAATTGGAGGCAGGCCTTAAAGGATTAGTCTTTGTAGAGAGAGGAATGGAAATAACCACAGGGGCCCACCCTTTGTAAGCAGTTATGAAGTTCCAAAAAGACCAGGAAATGAAAGTCATTGGTAGAAGACTTTTTAATGTGCAGCAGTAGGTTTTCTCTGCCCACAACTGCATCCAATCTGGAAAACTTATGGACCATAGGATGGTATCTAAAATCCCTTTCCAGAGGATTTACAGTAAATGCCTCCAAGTACCGGTAAGAGCAGTAGAGGAGATAAGGCCTTTGAATTTCGTAATCTTGTGGAGAAGGTTTCAGAGGGGCACCGATTGGTAATTTTCTATCCTCCAGGGGATTGGTAACTACATTAAAACTCCCTTATACTATCAATTTAGTTGTGGGCATTGATTTGATTAATAAGGGGACCAAAGAAGTCTATATCGTCAGAGTTAGGACCATAGACACTGTAGATGGTTATTTGTATTTGTAGGGGTTGAAACAGATACATTCACCCATCTACCCTCTGCAAGATCACATTCCTTGGACAATATTTGGCAACAGAGATTTTTATGTACCAGAAAAAGAACCCCCAGCTATGTGCCAAATTGCTGAGGCACTCAAGACCACGCCCATTCACGACTTGTGAAGAAACCAGAAGTCCTTTTGGTGTTAATGGAACTGTTGCAGCAGAGCAATATCAGTATGTAATTTCTTGAGATGGCAAAGAACCTTTGAACATTTGTTTGGCGAGTGTCACTATTTTCATGGAAAGGGGTGTTTCAATAGCTGAAGATGGGGGGTGAGTTCTTACACCTTTTTGAGAAAACCTGCTCAGGAGAAGGTCCCTCCAAACAACTTACAAAGAAATGAAAGGTCTATAATTTTTATCATAGGTGTATTGTTAATGTTAGAGACAGAATATCAACCAAAAATCCAGAAAAAACACATGATACAAATGTTATAAATTGAGCTGCAGTTCAGTGAGTAAAATAAGTATTTGATCCCCAAGCAAAACATGACTTAGTACTTTGTGGAGAAACCCTTGTTGGCAAGCACAGAGGTAAGACGTTTCTTGTAGTTGGTTACCAGGTTTGCACACATCTCAGGAGGGATTTTGGTCCACTCTTCTTTATAGATCTTCTCTAAATCCTCAAAGGAGAACTGTGAGGTGAGTGATTTTCACTCCACCTCATAGTTCGAGCCGACGTGTGACAAACTGACACGTCTTCTCTATAGATCGGGAAGTGAGCGAACTGTCAGTCACCACTCCCCACAGGGATTCTCCCCTCTCCGATCCTCCAGCGCTGATAACATTTGTGTCGTGTTTTTCTGGATTTTTGGTTGATATTCTGTCTCTATCATTGAAAATACACCCATGATAAAATTATAGACCTTTCATTTCTTTGTAAGTGGGCAAACTTACAAAATCTGCAGGGGATCAAATCATTATTTTCCACACTGTAAATCGTAAGTTGCAAGAGACCAATTATAAGCTACTGACTTTTTGGTATAGATCCCCTTACCTGCTCCACCATATCTACCCTCTTACCACAATCTTGCTGGAGATGCCATGGCGATGCCGGCACCCTTTTACATATTTTCTGTTTCTGCCCACATATCCAGCCTTATTGACTTCAGATACATGAAATTATAGAACAAATCACGGGCTCTACATTAAAATTCTCACAGAGTTAATTTGCTAGGGTCCCAGCGTGGTCTTCCTTTTTTCTGATGTGTGCATGATTAAAGTGACCCAATGAGAACAGAAGGTCCCAGTTGGCCATTTGGTATAAAGGCTGAGAGAAGCAAAGATGTTGTCTTAGACAGCCAATTTGCCGGATGCATTAAGGAGAACTTGATCTTTGCAGGTTGGAGTGAAAGCTCTGCACATTTTGGAAACTTAGTGGGAAGTAAGAGAATAGCAGCAACTTGTGGCCATCTACAGCCAGTTAATTCTGCACCCTGTAGGCTCGCTGAGTGTGGGCTTTGTCAGGGTTGTCTAAATAAAGATCCACAACAGGTCATGGCTGGCTGATTGTGTGTGCTTGTTCTACTTTCAGAGGTCCTAAGAGGCATACTGCTATGGCTGCTGCATGTTTTGGTAGTGGCACTTCTAGAAAAATGTCTCCTTTGTGGAGAGAAGACAGTTATCTGGTGACCCCTGGTCCAGTTGGGGGTCCATCCAGGCTATAGAGATAAAAGCAGATCGTCAGCTGGCTGAAGCTTCAGTTTTGAATCATTTATTTTCTTGATGTGCCAGCTGTTGTCCACAGTTTGATCAACACCGTCCCGTATGTATCAGAGTGTCTGAAGCAGACACTGGGGGACATCCTCAGTAATAAATCTATCTCAGAACTTTGCATACTGTTGCATTGGCTATGCAGAAATACAGACAAACCCCTCACTGTCTGCAGCAACCAATTAGATCACATTTATCCAATTTTCTAATACAATGTTCCTTAACAATCTGATTGGCTGATGTAGCCAACAGAGACAGTTTATTATTCAGACACCTTAAGTCAGGGGTGCCCATTAGGTAGATCGCGATCGGCTCACTGACCTGTGTCCTGTCCTCCTGCGGTGCTCGTGGGCCTGAATGTGTCAGAAGCCGCAGACGGGAAGGAGAGAGGAGACTTGGGAAGCTGCTGCAGTGGAGGTAAGAAAAGACCAACAGGAGAAAGACAGCAGAGAACGTGAGAGAAAAGAGAGAGACACCAGAAAACGTGAGAGAAAAGAGAGAGACAGCAGAGAAAAGACAGCAGAGAGAGAGAAGAAATACAGCAGAGAAAGTGAGAGAAGAGACAGCAGATAGAAACAGGGAAGAGAGAGAGGAGAGAGCGCGAGGAGAGAGGGTCGGTTCACACCACAAAGTCTGCGTTCCTGAGTGTTCGGCCTCTAGAACGCACTGTAACGCAAGCTGGCCAGCTCCCTACCTTCAGGGGCGGGAGGGGGTGTGGCAGTGCATTGAATTCAATGACGACACGCCCCCCGCCCTCAGTGTGATCGCCCGCACTCGAAACGCAGGCACATTAATGCAGCATTTTTGCAGATCGTACTGGGCCGGGAACGCAAGCACTAATGTGTCTGCATTCCTGGTGCGGCGATTGCACTGGGGGCGTGGCTGCGGTGCCATTGACTTCAATGTACTGCCACGCTCCCTCCCGCCCCTGAATGCAGGTGTTTTTTCGTTGGTAGATCTCATTGAGCTCGTCATATGAAAAGTAGATCTCCAGATGAAAAATTGTGGGCACCCCTGCCTTACGTCCTACTGTAATTGAAAGGTGGACACTTGTTTGCAAACTGAACCAAAGCCACTGCATTATCAAGTCTTAACTGACACATACAGTTAAGTCACCTACTAGCAATCACCATTGTTTTCTGGACCTAAGGACACTGGGGGTTGTGAGGTTGTGGTCTGCCATCATGGCTGTAGATGTTGCCCCTTTTACTGAACACACACATAAGCATCCTTATTTCCAAAAAAGTGAAGATATTTTCCAAGATATAAGACCAATTAGATTTAAACATTACAGTCATTACTGAAATACAGATCCTTATCCTTATGTTAAAGCTTTGAAAATTGAGCCTTTCTTTTTTTTTTTACAGGAACAAATGTAGGCTCAAATGGCAGAATACAAGTAACATATACAAAACACATCTACACAAAATACACCCATTAAGAAAAAGTGAATTTTATTAATGGTATACAATTCAATGGACACTAAATCCTGTTTAAAAAACATAGACGCATGGGAAAACATTTATGTAGAAAAAAACGTCAGCCTTGCCGAGTTCTGAGGAACAGGAAATATATATTTGGTTCCAAACAATGGAAAAGTTACTGCTTAACAGAGGCAGTTGCAGAAAAATAATATATACACATTAAAGTGGCATGTGTCATTCCAATCCACCAAGTGCAAACTATTACCAGCCTTGTGAAAAAAATATTGTGCTGTGACTCCAATACCAGACTTTTCACATGCAGTAAACTAGTGATGGGGACCACCGGTGTGGGTATGAGCCACCCTAAATTCCTTGTAGATAGAAAATCTAGGTGAAACCCACATCTAACTCTCAGGCCATCTGTCTTGTCTACTTTGTGGATAGAAAGGTAAAAAAGTGAATAACGGGGTTATGGAAAAAATAACGTCAGAGGTGACTGACAAGTCCTCAATACTGTGTAATCCCTCCTCTCACTGGACTACAAAGATCACTATCATCAAATTATTGGTCAGCCTTTAGTAATGCCCCATAGTATTGCTGAAGATAAACGCTGCTGCATCATAGAATGGCTCTTTATCATGTTTTGCTGGTGGCAAATCTTTTCTTTCCACCTCCAGATGACTGGTGGGATATTCACTGGGCTGGAGCTCTGTGGAGATGATTGTAGAAGTACAAAGTTCTTTGTGTATCTCTATATTGAAGCACTGCAGTGGCGTATTACACTTATGCCGGTCATTGACTTTCCACACCTGCCGTGATGATGGAGATAAATTTAATAAGACTTTCATGCAGACATTACTTATAGAAAGCATCATCATATGTTCAATGATACCTAAGTAAACCTCACCTCCAGCTGTCATAACCAGGCACTGCAGGATGTCAGAGAGAGAAACAATTCCTTTTGCCACGTTATTATTATCCACTACAACCAGTCTGTGTACCTAAAGGGACAAATAAAAAATGTGTTTTAAAGCAAATAAAGCCACACCCCTTTCACTATGACACCCCATTCCAAAAAAGACCTATTGTGACCTCTATACATTGCCACCACACAGTTATGTGCTTTTTATTCCCTTAGCTTCTGTATGGGACAGAAGTGTGGGATCTACAGTATGTCACCTTATAAATGTAGTGGTGTTCTTGTACACACCATTGTTTGCAGCACGGTGGGAAAGTGCTAAAATTACTCCTCGCTTTCTGTCTTTGTGACAGGGATGGTTTAAAGCAGGGGCTCCAGTGTTTGTCCTACACATAGGATTGGTACATACTAGTGACATGTACCGATCCTCTGCCGCTCATCCACGCACAGGGGGGCTGCAACTTCTCTGGATCCCCCTGCTCTCCCGGGCAAAGGCAGCGAGGGATACGACGAGCTGCTGGGGGGCGGAGCCGCTGTGACAGAACGGCCGAGCAGTGAGGGGAGAGAATGGGCACCCCTGGTTTAAAAGGGACAGGAAGTAATGGGAAATCCCTCCAAAAGTGATACAGTTTTTATCAGAGTGTGGAAAAGTTAGAATTTCTGTAAGCATTTTTTTTTTAGCTTCCTGTCCAAGTGACTCCTGTTCCCCTTATGTTGTTTATCAACACAATAAAAAAAATGACTAGTGAAAAACTCAGCTGTCAAAGACGGCAACAAAAACCTGACAGAAGTTCTAATATAGATTACATATATTACCCTACAAAATAAATACAGATCTGAAATTTGCATTAGGTAAACTGTATAAATTGCATATGGTACATTTCTGAGAATTATTAGAAAAGATAGAACAAGTACAACTATAAATGTATTCTTCAAAGTGGGTTAAAGAAGAATACTATTCATATGCACAATCCGTGACATACCCAGTGTAATTTCCAGAGCTACCACATTACCTTCTATGCAACAAAAATAAATGTATGTTTATGTAGACAAGGTCGGCTTTCATAGTTCCATATCTCCCAACTATACGTAGACCATAAGAAAGAGGCACATTTTGGTGAGTAGGGTGACAGGAAAAGTGGGCACACCTATATTGTGCTGATAATTGGATGCAACTTGAAGGGACATGGCAAAATAGTCTGAGCATGCTCACAGTACGCACTCTACACATATGCTGCAGTACACGTAGAATACCCTACACATCAGGACAAGGGATCATTTTTAACAACAAACTCTTCCATTATATACACAGAGAATATAGACAGAGAGCTAACACTTAGTCTGATTTGTCATTTAGCAAACGTCATATTTTTTTAGTGCAAAACACAATTGTTTCCATTATACATTTTTAACATTTCTTAGTCTTATAATATGTTGTCAGTGTTCCCCGTGCAGCGTAAACTGCCCAAAGGTCCATCTATTATTATGTCAGAGATGCTTTTGAGCATGTACCCACTGGCTCTATAGCTCGAGAACTGAGCTTATTGGAGGAAAAAAAGCGTAGGGGGCAGGCACCACTGGCTCTGGAGATGGAGTGCCAGCTGTCAATCAGCCAGGGGGGTTGATCCCGACAATATTGTCAGGATCTTTCCTGGCTGCAGCTCGGCTCTGCACAGTGTACAGCAGCACGCTATATGCTGGCTTTGGGTCACATGAGTACATCGGTAAATGTGAACCAAAAGAAAAGTATAGCTAAACAAACTTTTGGCCATAGTTCTCCTTTAACCCACCAGATTGACAGTTAGTGCCAAACCACACAACCAGGTCACCTGATAGCTCTCAATCTCCTAAACTAACAGGCTCCTTTTTTTTTGCCTCTGCCAGACTAACAGCCACCCCTGCCTAAATCTACCCTGGACTTACAGCAATCCCTGCCTGGCTGCATTACCACCCGTCCAACGAAGGTACACACTTCTCATAGTTATAAACAAATCAATGAGTTTTGCACAAGGCAATCTAGCGATCAAACCTTTACTTTTATTGTACCTCCTTATTTTACATTCACTTTGTCTCCACTGTCCCTAAAAAAATATTGGTTTCTGCTGGTCACAGCACACTTCTGTGAAATAATTTTCTTTTACCTCTGCCTCAACAAGGCGGTTGATGATGGTTTCAAGGGTTTCATGTGGGTAACATTTTAGAACGCCTTCGAAGTAATGAGAGCGATGTCCAAGAGCCTTTGTTACAGTAATATCCAAATTATTGTATGTTTTCTCAGCTGCTAAATTCTAGAAATAACAAAAGAAAAGTTTAGATCTGTTGTATACTGAGATCTCCAGAACATGTGATGGTGACATACAAGTACTCACAATGACATCAAACTTGGAATAAATATCCACCACACGCCCTGTGAACACAAGAACAACCAACCAATGAAAAGCAGCCATAAATCTTTTTCATGTTATATAATAAAGATAAAAAGAATAAAATAGAACATACTTTGTTGATCACTAGGATGTATTCAATTTAATAGAGAACACTTTTTTTATTCTGTGTGTTCTATTTTAGGGATGCATTGTCTTGCTCTGCCATTGACAAACTCTGGTAAATACCACTCATCCATATAATTTCTCTAACCAAAGAGCTCTATAAGGGTGGAGAAAGTGAAGTTGTTGCCTGCAATGAACAGATGCTTCCTCAACTTCTCAAATCTGCTCTAGTAAAATTCAGTTTAGAATGTGATGTTCATTGTGCCACGCAACTCCTCATCTTATAACGTATATTCCTTTAACTGTTAATGAAGTATATGAACTTTACAAAGAGCAATACTGTTTTATTCATCAGTTATAACAAACGTGTGCAATAAAACAAGGACTTTGGAAGCACTAGTTTCTTCCAACAACATAAAGAACAAATTAAAAGAGGAAATATAGTAAATATATCTGTAGCAGGAGCATTAGACTGTAAGGCAAGGACTGAAGTCAATGGTTAACCATTCTCTGTAAAGTGCAGCTTGTTAATTAACCGTTTGAGTCCCAGGTACTGTTTTAAATTGATAAAGGTGGTACACCGCACTAGTAGTAGAACTAACAATAAATACATTCCTAAAGTGGGCAAGCTACAGTGCTAATATAGTGATAGTAGGTGAATAATGATACACCGGGACTAGGTTCAGGCACGTACTGCGGTTACCCCTGCAGGAAGTGTTAGTGGAGGTCATCAGTTCCGACTCCGCTCCTAAGAACCGGTCGACTGTTTGTTTGCTACATGCTTATACACTATGGCCATCTTGTGTTTCTTTTTATCCCTTATTAAACTTGATGTTATGTACTTTACTATTGGAGTTCTTTCTTTTTTGGGTACGGTGATGGTCCTGTGTGGCATCTTGGAGGAATAGCCTTTCCGTTTATCTGAGGATCGCTCATTATCTCCTTGTGTGTACCGCCTGCCATTCTGATTTATATGAATCAATGAGAGATCTGGATTTATTTGCCTAATATCTTGGAGGAATTGCTTGAAGGATCTTTTTGGACCAGATGATTTTATAAAGATCACTTATTATCCCCTTATAGATGCTGCTCACGATTTTGTTTTTTTCTTTATGAATTATTGATATTTTATTATTAGTCTGGAGAGTGGATTTTTTCATTTTTTTACACGAACACTGGATGATTTTTTTCACTTTATATGGACATTTATGAGAATTTTTATATTAATATGGACTATTAGTTTTGTTTTTTAGTTACACTACTTGGTTACACTGTTTCTTATGTTCTAGTGCGATTTCCTTTTGTAATATTTAATATTAGCACCATTTTATTTAGGATTATTTATTAGCATTTTTAGATTGGATTAATAGCGCGGTGTATTATTATTACCTATTATTCACCTATTCAACTGTTTTAAATTGGCACTAGAAGAATGGCATTGGGTGACAGCAGTTACGGAGGGTCTCAGCGGGGTTCTCCAGTGACTCCACCGTCTTTCAGTGACAGTCATAATCCACTACTAAACCTAGAAGCTGAATTCATCTGCTCCTGACCTTCTGATCCAGCTACAGACCTCTCAATAAGAGCATTGTGTAAGAAAGGAAGTGTATTTTGTTGCACCATTTCTTTTTAATATATACTAAGGAAATGAAAATACATGCATCAAAATCTGCTTTCAAACAAAAACCCTAACTAGCCTGAAAAAATCTAAAAAGTGAATACGCAAATGATAAAACCTATAAAGTGCAGAGCCGAGATTACTTTGAAATATAAGAAGAACAAATGCTCCGGGACTATGAGGGGTATAGTGAGGAAAAGGCTAAAGAACTGAAGTGGTTAACAGGAGGATGAAGTGTTGTTTATGTGGTATGTATAGAAAATATTGAAAACAAAAAATCTGTTGCGCTTGATAAACTTTACGCTATTTCTTCCTGTGTTCCTGTCATGCAGGAAATGTTACTAAAAGACTAAAGGCAGTCAATGTGCAGGACAACACGGAATGCCAGAGCAATAAGCTGCCTACAAGAAGGTGTCTCAAACAAAGGAAACTGTGAGCAAAGTATATTACGCTTTAACCTCTAAATAAATGAGTGACCCTTCTTTGGCTCCTATACGTTAGACTTAGAATCAATGAAGCAATGGTCTCGTCATAAACATTTCAAACTCGTTACCCAAAATTCACCAGACTGAACAATGACCAGTTATTCAGATTCTCTCCCTGCTGCTTATCACTTGGATTCTTTCTCATGGTGGTCACATCATTCTTGTCAGAGCGGAAGATTTCTGTCTGGTGAAAATGTTTTTCAGTCCTGTTTCACTAGCGCTGTTCCACCAGCAAGGTAGTACAGATACACTTTATTGCCAAAAGTATTGGGACGTCTACCTTTACACACACATGAACTTTAATGGCATCCCAGTCTTAGTCCATAGGGTACAATATTGAGTTGGCCCGCCCTTTGCAGCTATAACAACTTCAACTCTTCTGGGACGCGTCCACAAGGTTTAGGAGTGTGTCTATGGGAATGTTTGACCATTCTTCTAGAAGTGCATTTGTCAGGTCAGGTACTGATGTTGGACAAGGCGGCCTGGCTCGCAGTCTCCTCTCTAATTCATCCCAAAGGTGTTCTATAGGGTTGAGGTCAGGACTCTGTGCAGGCCAGTCAAGTTCCTCCACCCCAAGCTCGCTCATCCATGTCTTCACGGACCTTGATTTGTGCACTGTGCGCAGCCATGTTGGAACAGGAAGGGGCCATCCCCAAACTGTTCCCACAAAGATGGGAGCATGAAATTGTCCAAAATGTCTTGGTATACTGATGCCTTAAGAACCCCTGAAAAACAACTCCAGACCAGAATCCCCCCTCCACCAAACTTTACACTTGGCACAATGCAGTCAGGCAAGTACCATTCTCCTGGCAACTGCCAAACCCAGAAACGTCCATCAGACACAGATAAGCGTGATTTTTCACTCCAGAGAACACGTCTCCACTTCTCTAGAGCGCAGTAGCGGCGTGCTTTACACCACTGCATCCGACGCTTTACATTGCACTTGGTGATGTCAGACTTGGGTGCAGCTGCTCGGCCTTAGAAACCCATTCCATGAAGCTCTCTACACACTGTTGTTGTGCCAATCTGAAGGTCACACGAAGTTTGGAGGTCTGTAGCTATTGACTCTGCAGACAGTTGGTGACTTCTGCACACTAAATCCAATGATTTGGAGGGTGTCCCAATACTTTTGACAATATACATTATCTTAACAGAAAGTATTTCCTGGCATTACCCCCACCCTTAGTTTTACCAGAAAAGTTTAATGATACAATGCTGCATGACCGAGTAATTGGCATTCACACTATCACAGCACTGAAAACTGTCCTGCAAAGGAGGGTGGTGTAACATGTCAGTATTGAGGTCAAACATTTATCCCTTTTATATCATGTCAAATATACGATCAGAAGTGTTTTCAATTCGTTTTCTTTTTAGGCTATGATCATATATCCGCTTTTCCATACCCTATCTATGCATTTCTCTCTAGTACTGTATACAAAATTCCTAATACCTCTTTTAAACAAACAAAAAAACGCTGTGCTACTATAGGCAGCTATTGACTTTCCAGTTACAAATGCAAAAAAGGGCTAAAATAGGACAAAATGTATGTTTATTGGCATAGTCCACCTTATACAAAAAAATAAGGAAATGCACACACATTCATAAAAAAATATAAGTGTTTTTATTTATTTGCATTGAAGCCTGTAAAGCATTCCAACTGCTATCAGTGGATAATGGGTGCAATGCTCTGGCTCCTGCAAATTCCTCCTTCCAGCCTCTCGGCACCAAGGTGCAGAATTTCAGTTAAGGGAAGGGAGGAAATGTCAATGGACTACAAATGCAGTGATGTCACCAAACATGTACTCCATTGAGAACTACAGGTCCATCTGCTGCAGGTGGCAGTCGGGACTCGTAGTCTCTCCATTCACAGATCCTGTCAAAGGCTCTGCTCGCACATTCGCACCATATTCAGAATATTAGAGCAGTATGCGAGGAGAAAAACCCAGTGATTCAGCTAAGGGGGGCTGGGGATGTGACCATGTTTCGTATTAAACCCTAAATATGGGTGTAATATGAAACATGGTCTAAGAATAAAGTTAGCCTTTAACCCAAATTTTTTTTCCTTTTAGCTATAGGGAAGGGAAAGAATCAGGACCCCTGTCAGGATTTTATTGTTGTGGTTCCCCTCTGGGGAGATTTACCCACTCTATCAGGGTTAGAGTAATACAGTGAAGATTAAATATTCAGTATAGTAGTAAGTGATATATATGTATATTTACCAGAATCATCAACAACAGGTAGAGCAGACACACGGCGCTGAACAAAAATACCCAGTGCAACATAGACAGGAGTGTTGGGATGGACCATAGCGATGTTGTCGTATGTTCCAATCTTCAGCTGCTCTAGTGTTTGAGTCACAAACGCTGGCTTTTCCAGTTCAGACATCTGGAAATAAAAACAGAGATACGTGAAATATCGTAGCCTGGAAGATGGAAGGGGTAGCCATAGATAGAATGAGACTCACAAATAGTTTGAGGAACTTGAGAATCCTCTTGTGCGTTAATATATACAGCGTATTTCCAGATTCTGGAGAAATGACTGGCAGACGATGAATGCGGTTTTTAATCAGCGAGGAGACCGCATCGTACAGGCTGGAGAGCAAGCAAAAAAAAAAGCGTTATTTAACTATTGGAACCATAAGATGGACAAATCTTAAATGTGACCAGTACACACCTGGCACTGGGTGATATGCTGACCAAAGGCTTGAAAGAGTCTTGTAAATACACTTCTATAGGAAATAAAGAATTCAACAAGGTTTAGATCTCAAACAATCCCCTTCCACTATCTGATTACTTACTCTAGCCATATTTTTCACATAAGTAAAGGCAGATATTAATATTTCACTTGTAGGACGACAACTTACCTCTCCAAGTCTCTATCTTATGTTCTTCCAACTCGTAAATTTGCACCTGATAACACACAGGAAGCAAAGTAAAACTTTAACAGGTCATCAATAGTAAAGTTTATTATAAACTACTCCTGCCAGCCATCTCAGATCAATGAGAAAAAAACCCCGGAAAAGCAGCCAGAAATCGTTTTCATGTGACAGAAATGCAATACTGTTTTATTCATTAGGTATGAGAAACCAGTACAGGTGAACATCTAAGAAACAAGATTTTTGTTTGCACATGACTGGATGATGTCAGCAGAGCTTCCCCTCGTTCACTAAACAAAGGGAAAATTCCCCTGCAAAGTGAACTGCCTATTTTCCTTTAGTAAATCAACCCCACGGACCCAACTGGCACATTTTTTGAGCTATACAGGTGGGGATAATTGCAGGTGAATACGTTCCTACACATAGAAATTTTATGGCAATGCACTGTGTGGCTATAGAATCTAGAAGATCCGGAAGTAGATTCCTTGATGCGTCATTTATTGGTTAAACAAACAATTTAGGAATAGTTCTGAGAGAATTACACCTTTGTGATGGCTTTCTGTGAGGTTGTACCTCTCACTCTCACTCTCCTACTGGAGGTCTTTGTGTGATAAGAAAACCTGACAGGTGATATTTCAATGTTGGGTGAACTTAGCTTTTAGAAGTGGCATAGACATGAAAACTGGGTAGAGCATAATGTGGCAAGAGAGGAAGATTAAAGTAAAAGATGCATTACATTATCATGTCTTAGAGAAGTTGGCAATGAAAGAGGATATGATGATGATGATGATGAAACTTGGGAGATATGCTGAAATGTATTTAGAAATCATGTAGCTGTTGCAAGTATGGTTGCTGTAAAGATGGACTTTGATTGAGGAGCATAACAATAGGCCTTTGTGAAGACATAAAGGGATAAACTGTTGAAAAAGACATGACTGGACAATACATGTGAACGTGTCTAGTGATCGCTGTGGCAATGCAAGCAGATTCATCCAACTTGTAGTGCCAACATTATCCTACATGCTGTGGAGTAATGAGACTGCCATATTATCCCAGCTAACGCCCACCTCATAGTTAGAATATTTTGCTTCATCACTGTGATGGCAGTGTGCCTTGTTTAACCACTTGATGATTGGGGTGTTTACACCCTCTTCCTGTCCAGGCCAGTTTTCAGTATTCACTGCTGCAGTACTTTGACTGATGTTTATTCCGTCATGCAACGCTGCGCTGAAATTTTATACCATTTTTGGGGACAGATAGAGCTTTCTTTTGGATGTATATAATCACCACCACTACGTTTTTAAAAATTATTTTTTACTATATAACAAAAAAAAAAAAAACACGAACATTTTGAAGAAAAGAAAACAAAAAACTTTTCCCTAAGTTATGTTATTAAACATTATTACCCCAATTTTTGGTAAAATATAAAAGACGAGGTCACGTCAGGTAAATAGACACCAAACATATCAAGCCTTAAAATTGAGCACGCCCCCGAAATCGCAAAAAAAACCTACCAACCTACCAAAATTTCCCGCTCATGCATGCCGCCTAGCGGCGGGCACGAGCGGGGTGGGAAAGGACGTTTAAAAACGCCCACCTGCATTCAAGAAGCCGCCGTCCGGCTGTTTAATTACAACTGCCGGACGGCAGGTAGTTAATACTGAAATAAAAAGAATGATAATTATGGGGTAAAACAATCGTCTCCATTGTTTTTTTAAACTAGAGCACGATATTTTCTAAAACATTAGACAGAAAAAACCTTTTATGTCCTTAAAAAAAACAACTATTGTTGATAAGGTTGCAGTCAAATTATCTGACACATACTAACCTGCTAAATGTGGCCTGTGCTTCTAGACAATGACCCCTGGTAATGAAGGGGCTTAATCAAACAAAGGACTATTGTCAGAAGTTTATATGTAATTCAGGCCATAAACTATCCAGTATACCAGTGTCTAAAATGTTCCAGCACTTGGTGACATGTAACCCAATAGTTGTAAGAAGATGGGTGGTGACTGAATACAGGCGGCCTCTACCCTAAACTGCTAATAGGTTTTGTGAGGTCATAATTAAAGGGAACCTGTGCTGGGAAAAACAAGGAAGCAGATATTAAAGGAGAACTATGAGATGAGTGATTTTCACTCACCTCATAGTTCTATCCGACCTGTGACACTGAGACTGTCACAGGTCGGCTCAGTAGATCGGGAAGTGAGCGAACACATACCGGCGTTCGCTCACTTCTCGATCCTGTCACGGCAGAGGGGAGGGGCTGGATTCCCCCCTCCGATCCTCCAGCGCTGACTGGCGGAACGGACGGGGGAGGGGGCGGGTACAGCTGGCTCTGCCTCTAGATAGGCAGAACCAGGTGTCAGTCACGCAGCTGGGCGGATCCAGACATAATTGTCGGGATGCGTTCCGGCTGCAGCGCCTCAGTATACCGTGAGTTGCAGCTCGCGGTATACTGAGCTTAGGGTGACGGGAGGACGCTAGTTTGTGTCCTCCCGTTACCCTAAGGAGAACTATGGGGGAAAGCCCTAACCCCATAGTTCTCCTTTAAGGATCTCCCTCTGGAAATGCTAGTTGTGTGGCTTTCTTGCTGGTTTAATGACTTTAAAAACTTCTGATTCATTGACCTGGAACAAGCAAGCAGCCATTGAAGTCAGCACATCTAATCTGTGTGCCTTTTTCAGATCAGTAACTCAGAAAGTACCAAAGCTATTACATTACATTGACAGCCAGGCCTCTCACGTTTTCATGTTAGCCCTGAAATATCGCTCAGTACAGCGCTGCATGACGGAATAAATGTCAGTTAAAGTACCGCAGCGCTGAATACTGAAAAATGGCCTGGATGGGAAGGGGGTTTAACACCGCTGTCAACTGGTTAAATAAATATCTTCAGTAAAATCATGGAATACACTTACCAGAGAAGACTTGTAGTATCGATGGAGTATATTTATGAAGTCTGTGATGGTAAGCATGCCTATAAAAGGAAGGAAAACAAGATGTCAAATTAAAGTTTGGTTTTCTGAAGTAATTATTTCCAAGTCTCTGTGACCTACCTACAAAACTCTGTGTCTTGCTGTCCCACAAAGGTGCTGCTCTTACCCCATTACTGACCAGAGCAAAGAAGGCTTTCTTTACCTGAAAGTCAAAGTCTAATTAAATAGGTGTCTGAAAGCACACATACTCATGGAGGCAGATACATGATTTGTCTGGTCTTCTTACCTGAAGAGATGTATCAAACACTACAAGTTTTGAGCTGATGGGGACAAGGTCATAACATTTATGATTCTTCATAAACGTTGTGTAAACTCCACTCTCTGATTCTGAGAAGACAAAATGGAGCCAAAAGGAAAGCTAAACATTATAACCATAAAGGATGAATAAACAATGATAAGGACAAAATGTTATCACAATGTTCTTACCTTCTACTGGGGAACCACATTTTCCTTCTACACTAGGTTCAATCACAACGGATCCCTGAAATACAGGAGGATATAAAAATGTTGATTTCAGTTACTAAGAAGCTGACTCCTGAGAACGACCATACTCTTGGAGTGATCCAAAATGAGAGAATACATATGAAAAGTTCTGACATACAGAAATAAAGCCCTGAAGGATTCTACCGCTTATCCTCTCCATCCGAAACATAAAAATATCTGATTGGAAATGTAAAATTCATGTACACAAACAGAAATACGATAGCTGACCACATTCTAAAAACATTAGTTGCCTAGATCTTGAGTACATTTGAGTGCCATACCTAGAAAAAGCACATTCCAAACAATTGTTATCTGCTAATAAACCAGTACCCCTGCATGGATTGTTACTTACAAATGCCTTTAACCCCTTCGTGACTGACGACGTACAGTGTACGTCGCCAGCATCGGGGCTGTTTAAACAGACTCCCGGCGACTTTTGCCGCCGGGACTCTGTAAACCTTTTTGCCCATAGTTCTCTTCAGGGTCACAGAAGGACATATACTGATGTCCTCCGGTGACCCAAAACGCACCATATAGCGGGCTATTTTCCCGCTATATGCTGAGAGCGCACAGCCGCACCGCAGTCGGGATGGATCCACACAATACTGTCGAGATCCATAGACAGCTGTGCCTGCCCCACCCCCCATCTGTTCCAGAGCTTGGGGCGAATCCCTGCGAGGAGCGGTGACTGACAGTTGCCGCTCTCTGCAGGGAGAGGATTGGGAAGTCAGCGATCGGTGGTATGTGTTCACCGACTTCCCGATCAATAGAGCCGACCTGCGACAGCTTCAATGTCACAGGTCAGCTTAAATTATGGGGATGTGTGTTTTTCACTCATAATTCTCTTTTGAATACATTTTTGTCTCAGTTAAAATGAGGATTTCTACCCTCACCCTGCAGTGCACTATGCTTGCAGAGCTGAGTAACAGCCACACCCTTGTCCAGCCCAAACATCCTCACACAGAGTGGTACTGCAGAGAAGTAAGAGCAAGTAGTGATTACTCTGGTAACTACTGAACTGTGCAGTCATATTAAGACTCTGTCCACACATCTGCTATAGTGGAGGGAAGGCATAAAAATAGAGGAGAATGCTAGTGCAGTGACTATCTAGTTCTGTTACTTCAACATGGCTATAACTATATGATACATCCAAGCAAGAAGAAAATAATTCTAAGCTTAATTGTGAACTTTCCTCCTGCTAGTTTGAGGTCATGTCACTGTGTTCTTGAGCTCATCTTCATATTGAAAATACTGTCCTCCTGAAGCTTTCTCACACACCCTGTGTTCTCAGGCTTTTGCATTCCAATACAACTACATGGGAATTCAAAACTTAATGAAGTAGGTTAAAGGCAGGCTAAAGATGTCAGAACAATCTCAGAAGTGTTGCAAACTGATGCCATCAACACAAGCACAAAGCTCATTGACACAGGCCCTAATGAAAGTTTTATCTCTCAAGCCTTGCACCATTTATGTTGCCAATTCCTGAACTCTAACTCAGGCACCAAATCGCCATGCCAACTAGAAATTGCATCCTGGCGCCTGGGCTTTTGTCTACCGTTCACTGCTTACACCATGGGCGAGGAATTCCTATTGCCCAACACCCCAGACATGCCCCCCTCCGATCCCTGCTGCTCTCCCCGCCTGCATCAGCTCTGCCCCCCTCCCCTCCAATCAATGCTGCTCTCCCTCCCTCTCCCAGGGGCAGCGGGGAATGGAGGGGACACAGACTGCTGCAGCCAGCACCCAGCGGGGAGGAGAAAGCGCTGCCAGTTGTTGTGACGCTGCATTCCCCCCCCTGCACCCGCTCTTCGGAACAACTGCTGCTGGTAAAACGCTAGCAACAAGTCTCCCATCCAGTGGCTGGGAGCAATAGCCAGCCTGCTATTGGCTGTTTTAAACTGTAGTAGCCAGCAGCCTGGCTATTGCACCCTCCCACAGCCTGCTGTCAATGCTCTCTTTCAGTTCCCACCTCTGCTGACTAACAGCAGGCAGGTGTAATAATAGCCAGCCTACCATTGCAATTTGAATTTGGCCAATAACAGGCTGGCTATTGCTCACAGCTGTGTTTACATTCAGCTGTCACTCCCCAGCTATAGCTATTGAAGTGGAAGGGGTGACACTAGCGGGTCTACCTTATGTCTTTTTACCAGAAAGTGACACTGTATTCCAAACCATGCTGTTTTGGGTCCAGCAAGCTTTGGGCCTTTTCGTAAAATCATTAGCTTTATTTCTCATTTAGCAAGGTGCAGAAGCCCTTGTGTAAAACAACATTTACCTTAGCAGACTATCGTTTGGGACTAAAACAGTGACAATTTTTGGTGACCTCCCTCCCATACAGGTGATAGAATGTCTAGCCCCTTCAGGGGGGAGTTCTGTAGCACAATGAGAGGCAAGAACAGCAACAAGGGGAAAATAGCATGAACACAACTGGAAGTAAATACAATAACTTAAAGGGTAATGTGTCATTCTACTCTCAAACCAAAATGTCTACTTTATTTCTGGGGTGCTTCCAGATTTTCAGTATAATTAACAGCATTTCAGACTGAGACATTGAACACCATGAAGAATCTACTTTGTCAGTAGCTGCTACACTTCTGTATTCTGTTTTTCTTCAGTGTCCCTGTATAAATCTTGCCTGGATTATTTTCAAGCCATCTGTCAATTAATCCCTTGGTTCCTTATCTGTCCTTTCTGCAGTCTGCTCTTCACTTTGCGGCTTAGTTTCCCTTCCTGTGATAGCTATAGTGTCACATAGAAACAAATTGTATTGGCGCTGCCAGGGACTTAGGACCCGGTCCACATAGAGCTGCCCCTTCACTTCCCAGCCTTGCCTCAAGCCCACTGCATATATCCAAACAACCTGCTGATGGGACGCTCCAAAGCATTAGTGATATCTACCAATGTATCTATGCCTTGTCTTATACAACGTCCATGTATTCTATTGCTGCCCTAAAGCACCACTTTTACTGAACAAGTAGTGGATGCTTGGAAGACATCCAGCAGAGGTAATGAGTCAATCAACAGTAAACACATTTAAACATGTTTGGGATATACATACAATCTATACTCAGACAAAAAGGTAAAAAGAAGAAACATTAAAAAAAAAACCCTAATGTTAAAAAACTATCTGATATTTTATGAACATCGCCCTCTTTGTTTCTTTAAAGTAAACCTTTTATTTGCTAGCCGCAAAAAGGTCACACAGAATTAGAAATGACCTATGGATTGAGCCAGCTAAACTACATACCAATCAGACTAAAGATGGCAAGCCATGAAACCGTAAAGTTCAGAGGTTATTAAAATGGAGGAGGGACAAAAAAAAAGACACACCCCTGTAAGTAAATTTAAACATGCCTGGGATAAACATAAGTCTATACTCAAACAAAAAGGACCTACAGAATAGAGGTGATCAACCACATGACTGCAAGAGACACCACGACTCCCTGAATCTTCATATGTTCACATTCTTCAATCAAGGCTACATGTAGATGACACAAAAAGGTCCCTTTAGGGGCAAACCATCCAAATAATGGCCTACCAAAATGGAAGCCTTTACCTGGAAACATTTTGAGCCAATTTTGTTCTTTGCTGAGGGCTCATTCACACCATGCCCAGATCAGATGTGGTACGTTACATTTTTCTTCCGCACCAAAAATGCATTTGTATGTGATGTTTGGGCTCTGTTCACACTGGTCCAGTCCGTTCCAGTGCAGGAAAATAAATTGCTGCATGTCACATTTTTCCTGCACTGGAACGCACCGAAACACATCACAAACACACCGCACCGGAACACAACAGAAGCTGTGACACGGAGCAGGAAGAGATTTGCACAATGACATTACCCCCCCAAAAAAACGCACCGCAGGACATTTGCAGATACGTGTGCAGATCTGGTCCGGACATGGTGTGACAGGGCCCTAAATGTACAAATTTTTCAAAAAGTTAACTTTTTGTAGAAAATCTTTAAAAAGTAACATTGTCACAAAGTGTTCTACATTTTTTTTAAAATCAGCACTGCAGATGCAATTCAAACTCAACATCTCTAACTGAAGACCTGATCCGGCACTCTTGTGATTCCACAGTGAGCACAAAAGCATCATGGGAATTCCACATCATTGGAAGGAGATCTGTACCCGAGTGTACAATGCAGATGCACAAAGTGGTAGGGGACAAGAGGAGCATTGTGGACGGGCACAGTGAGTGGACTTTCAAAGCCCAAAGGTTATAAATAGAAATCCCCTGCCCGCCATATGTTGGCCGAATGACGACTGGATGGCATTTTTGGCACCCGATGGAAATTTTCATATAGCTGGGCGGATGCTTTATAAATCATCTCCTAAGTATTGGGTGGAAAACAAATTCCACCAGCCTTCTAAAGCCACTGGCTGATAGACGAAGGAATGTTTATGGGAGGGTTTAATTATAGCAGGTAACGATTTTGCTGAAATCGGCTATAATAAGAAGCCTTGAGCTCCAATGTGAAATATTCATAGGCAGAATTTCAGATTTAACCAACAAAAATATAAAAGAAAAATATTTTATTGAAGTTCAGGAATAAAAAAAAAAATCCTTCTTTGTTCTCTTTAAAATGCAATAGGCTACTGCTAGACAGCAGACTAAAGGAGAGGGAAACTTACTCACCTGTGGAAAAGTTTTCTAGAATAATCAATGCAGCTGTAAACTATAATAATGAGTAACCAAGCGCACGTATCAACAGGTTACACAACCAAATATGAGATTGCGATAAGGCAGTCCACTCCCAGGTGCCTTTCATACCGCCTGCAGCTGGTTACCATACAATACTGTCTTCACATGTCTCCATGCTTGTGTATTTAAAGTGACATTAAAGGCTAAAGTCCCCCCCCACAGTGCTAAAGTAAGCACTTACCTTAAATAATGTCTCTTAATCCAATCTTATTCTTTCCTGTCGTTTTTAGCTGTCCCTCCAGCGTGTCTCTGATCCAGCGCCGACTCCTCTGTCCTCTTCTCTCAAATCCCACAGTGTCTGTGCGGGTGCACGCTGCTCCATAGACTTACCTTGTGTTTCTCCTCCTCTCCCGGCCGAACATCTGAACTGCGCATGCGCCCGCCCGAGAAATTTTGTGATTTTCGTACAGGAGCGCGCGGCGGAGATACAGGTAAGTATTAACCCTGTCAAAAAGTTTTCTTTTTTTAATCGTTTTGCATATATCTACTGCTTAGTAGCAGTAGATATATGCAAAAACTAATGAGGGTTTAATAACCCTTTAATGTATCTAAAAAGGCATGACGAGCTATGTACCATCCTTCTAAATGAACCCGTCATCTTCAATGCAAAGCCTTTTTTACACTGACATTGACTAACCTGTGCTCATAGGACACATCTAAATATATATACATCCATGTGATGTCCGGTATAGTGTAATTCACACGGTGCGTTCAGTTTGGCGTTGCACAGAGAAAATAGAACTATGTAGAACCAGGGACAGATTAGATACTCTCAATGATGCATGTAAACGCATGTCAGGCAGGTACATCCTCATGCACAAGAACTTGATCTGGAAAGCATAAAGTTTGTTAATACTTCAGAGATCATTTCTCCTGCGCTTAATTAACCTAAACGTGGGAGTGCTGATGTGAATGTAGCCTAAGGGCCCATTCACACCCTTCTTACCATTGTGTTGTTTCAGGAACACTTATTACTACAATGCACATTAAGTGTGTAATCATGTTGTGGTGCCATCTATTGTCACGGACACCCCCGACACACATCTGCAAGACTCAGTAATGCATTACCATGTGTAATGGTGCATTGATTTGGAGAAAATAGAGCATTCATCCATTCTGGCGTATTGGCAACTCATTCATTTGAATGAGCGTCCTAACATAGCGCACATAATGGGGAAAAATCAATCAAAACTGGAGCAGACAGATTCTGGGGCAGTTGCTCATAGTAACCAATCAACTTCTATCTTCAGTTTGTTCATTTAAGCTGTGAAAATGAGAGAAGCGGATTGGTTGCTCCAGATTCTGTCTGCTCCAGTTCTAATAAAAATTCCCCTCATGTGCCCACAAACTGGAATGGACGTGTGAAGGAACAGAATTGTACATTGCTTATTTATTCTGTGCACGTTAACCAGCAGCTGTGAGAATCAGGCTGAATGTTCTTAGCGTCATGTCTCATCTGGTCGAATGTTCTTCAGTGGGGAAAATACCACATTAAAGGAGAACTATGGGGTCAGCGTTCTCCCGTCACCCAAAGCTCAGTATACCGCGAGCTACAGCTTGCGGTATACTGAGACGCCGCAGCCGGAACGGATCCCGACAATACTGTCTGGATCCACCCAGCTGCGTGATTGACAGCTGCCTCTGCCTATCCAGAGGCAGATCCAGCTGTGCCCGCCCCCGTACGCTTCGCAAGTCAGCACTGGAGGATCGGAGAGAGGGGGAAACCTGCAGGGAGCCGTGAGTGACAGTCACAGCTCTCTGCAGGGATAGATCGAGAAGTGAGTGAGCGACGGTATGTGTTCACTCACTTCCCAATCTACTGAGCCGACTTGTGACAGTTTCATAATTCTCCTTTAAATCTCCATTAGATGGAGCTGAAGAGCACAGGAAATAAATGCACCTTAGTAAGGAGATACAATTCAAGAGAACACCGGTGATCGATCAAAACTACGAACTTATCGAGTTGTGGGACCGCATTACTTCCGGTTTCCTCAGAACTATGAGGTTTTTACACAAAACATGTTGTGCACGAGCGCCATCCACGGCATTGCCCTATAGACATAGACCACAGCAATAAAGTAATAAAATGATGTAGGATGACAGTAAGCCAGCGCGTTCTTTATCTCAGGTGCCCCACTCAAGCGGCGGCCATATTGAGTGGGGCACCGGAGATAAAGAACGTGCTGGCTTACCGTCATCCTACATCATTTTATTACTTTATTGCTGTGGTCTATGTCTATAGGGCAATGCCGTGGATGGCGCTCGTGCACAACATGTTTTGTGTAAAAACCTCGTAGTTCTGAGGAAACCGGAAGTAATGCGGTCCCACAACTCGATAAGTTCGCACTTTCGACACATCACCGGCAAGAATGAGCCCATAAATGTAAGCACTGCTACCAATGTGTACATTTGTATGACCACTCATAAGAGAAAATTTTAATTTTGTCCCATTCTTCCAACAGCTGGTATACTCGCCCAGAAGAATAATAATGCAGCTCACTGAATCAAAATGCTGTGCAAATGGTTTATAAATAGAGCCCTTCATGTGCGCTGGTTTCCCCCATAAGACATAACATAGAAAAGGTAATGGGTGGAAGCCGCTGTATAACACGTCCTCCCTATTCCCTTCTAATCACCAGAGCCTGTCCACATGCTAATTACAAGGGATGGGGCACTGCTGATATGTGAACGTAGCCGACAAGGGCTGGACACCTCAGGGGAAGCCGCCCACAGCCTCCCTCTTCCCCCCGGGATGTGACCCAAGCAGACCGATACCTGAGCGGATCCCCCACCCATAGAAAACCTCTGTGGTCACTAGGCCGCCTCTGTACAATCTGTATGAGGAGCAGTGACCGATCAGCCCCGTCACAGCGAACAGACAACTTCCCCCTGACCCAGCTCAGTGACATCTCTCACCGTCTCCATCGCGGCCTCTTCATCGGTGAGGATACTCTGCGCTACTTCCGCCCTTGCCGGCTGAGTGAATTTCCGCCCATCGCCTACCTCACTTCCTGCGGCAGATTCTATAACCGATGCTTCCGGATTCGCCATCTTGGTTGGGGAAGAGTTTGTGCTTACATCATAAACTGACACTAGGGGAAATAAGCGTAGGGCTGATAAAGGGATTACAGATTTGTCAGCACATTTAAACCTTCCACAGAACGCTGAAGAGCTGTGCCTTATCCTAAAGGAGAAGTGTATGATTAGACACCCAAACACGTTCCCTCCCTGCACTATAATCTTTTTAGTTATAAAATATTTACCTTCAGCACAGAAGTCACTGCACAGCCAGACAACTATCAGGTTTCCATAGAAACATCCTTTTTTAAAGTAGACACATGTACCATATAGCCCCATAGGTAAGTTGCAGTTGATTACTCTCAACCTGTAAGCAGACATCCCAACCTGCAAAACCTTATTTCAGGGAGCTGCTGTCCAAAAGAGGGAGACTCCCTGAACATCAGGGAGACTTGAGATCCCTGTGTAAGTTGTCAGGAAAGGTAGAAATGCTGTATAGCCTATGGGGGGTTCAGGGTGCATGTGCCACAATGAAGACAACCCAGCACTCACAATTCTATAAAAACCATGATTGCAGCTGGCTTGGGGCATAAACAGCGGCTTCTGCATCAGAAGTTGAAGGTCCAAAAAGATAGAGGGCTGGGAGGGAATATATGTATTTATGTGTAGCCAGGCATGGGCAGCTCCAGCCCTCTAGATGTTCATTACAAATCCCAACATGCCTCTGGGAGTCATGCCCGTAACTGTCAATCTTGCAATGCCTCACAGGACTTGTAGTTCCACAACAGCTGGGGGGCCGGAGTTGTCCACCCCTGCTTTTGGGGCCATTCAGTAGTATCTGGCTCATTGTGGTGTGTTGTGTTGCACGTAAACATGTACTGTGTAAATGCACCACAATGGACCTAAAATCAGACCTGCACTCTTTCCTCCCCAACGCACCGCTTGGTAGTCCATTACAATGGGCTGCAATACAGGAGCACTGATGTGCAATTGAGAATGGATGGCACTGCAATGCACTGTCAAACATCCATTGTAGTAATCACAACATGCAAGTCTGAACAGGCCCTTAAATGATAAAAATATATCAAATGGATGTTGCTGAAATAGGCAATATTACCATTCAATAATATAAAACACATGTGCAGCATGTACAGGGGCTGGTGTAGTATTAAAGGAAACATGTCATTAGAGAAACATGGAGGCCACTATTGCTGACTGCATCTCCTGAAAATGCTAGTTGTCTGGCTGTCATTCTAAACCTTTTCCTTCAATACTTTCAGGTCTTTTCACTAAAAAGGTGAAGAAGAGTTTGTAGAAGGCAGGAGAAGTGAACAATCTAGGACAACATAGCTGATTTGGCAAAATTCTCCAATTCAGCAGCTTCCTGTTGTCCTAGATTGTTCACTTCTCCTGCCTTCTCTAAACGCTTCACCCTTTTGTGAATAACCCGGTTTGAGTCAATGGCAGGGGTTCCACTGCTCGTTTTCCACAAGTAATCTGCACAGCTGTATAGACACCCAGATCACTTTGAGCAGACTGCTTGCTTGAACCGAGAGCTCATTTGGGCAGGGTCTTCCTCACCTACTGTTTCTGTAGGTCAATGATGCCTGTCAGTGTTTCTTACTTGTCTAAACGATTGTACAGTGCTGCAGAATATGTGGGCGCTATATAAATTGTAATTGTATGTGGATTACAATGGGGCTATTTGATCAGCCAAGTGTTTGGAGCTAGTTGCTGCAAACACTTGGCTGATCAAATAAAAACCAAAAAACATAAAAGCCAATTTTATTACTGTATATGCAGCCTGACTGCATTGGAGTAATACATTAGGAGAGGTCCAAATGGGCTTGAAATGAAGTACTACACTGGTGGGGCATTGAAGTATCAACTGCTTGTTGTCTGTTCAGTATTCTGTTCCCTGGCCGTGTGTGCAAAGGTTGCTCAGATTTTAGGTGTGTACAAAGAACAAGATGTGTTTAGGGAGTCATCAAGCACTCATGAACATCTGAAATATGATCACTGGGCAACACAGAGACTTCTCACCCCTCCGCCCCCGTTTCTTCCACAATGACAAAAACTTTAAATATACGGTATATAAAAATAGGCAGTTTTAAAACAGCTCAAAGTATTTAAAATGCATTTTATTTGTCCTTTAAAAACAAACCAAAAGAAGCAATTAAGCTCTTCTTACTTGCCTCTTTCACATAAATTATATACATTTCAAAATTATATTCAATACAAAACATGCCACGTACAAGTTTTTATTTTCATTTTTTTTAAAAAAGGAATAATTTTATGTTTTCTACGAAGGACAAATCTTCTGTACAGAATCCTCACCGCACAAATTACAGCTCCCTATGGAATCTCGTCAATACA